ATTTAACACCTGGTTATGCGTTATAAATTTAAATACCAGAACTCATCATAAAAGGAGTTGTTTAAACTCTAAAAAATGAAATGTTGAATTTACTCAAACAAGTTAACTGGTTCCTTTAAACCAGGTTGAGTAAATGCAAAACAYTTGTTCAGTTTACTCAGCTGGACTTAGTGGAACCAGTTGACTTGGCTTGGTTAAGTAAATTCAACACTTCATGTCTTAAAGTGCATGCACWGTAAAAACACTTTTCAAAACCAGGCTCCATTAAATGTGAGAAATAATGACCGTCACATGGTGAGCTAAAGGTRCTGAATGACCTCTGTCCCTCAGGTTGTCACGTTAGCAGTGTACAGTTTCTTCCTGGTGTGCCTGATCGGTCGTCAGTTCCTGGATCCGGGTCAGGGCTACCCGGGTCATGATCTGGACCTGTACGTTCCCATCTTCACCCTGCTGCAGTTCTTCTTCTACGCCGGGTGGCTGAAGGTCAGACCAAGGCTCTCGCAGAGTTTGTTTCCTGCCTCTGATGGGAGCTGAAGGCTCAGGTGTGTGTTCGGTTCTGCAGGTCGCGGAGCAGCTGATCAACCCGTTTGGAGAAGACGACGACGACTTCGAGACAAACTGGTTGATTGACAGAAACTTCCAGGTGTTTCACTGCCGTTTCGTTTAACTCGAACAGATCTACCTTCATTTATAGACATTTTAAAGAGAATCATTCCTGCTGTCTTTGACTCAGCTTTACCTGTTTCCCTTTTATCCACAGGTGTCCATGATGGCGGTGGATGAGATGTACGGAGACGTGCCGATGATGGAGAGAGACCGTTACTGGAACGACTCCAATCCTCGACCTCCCTACACAGCAGCCACGCTGTTCGTCCTCCGGAAGCCCTCCTTCCAGGGCTCCACTTTCGACATGACGTGAGCTTCTGTGTTTTACTCTTTTATTAGCTGAGTCGGCATTCCCAAYATTGTTTTAACTTGGGTTTTAGTTTCTGTTCAGTTTATTTTAAATCAAACAATTCATTAATCAGACCCAAGCTCTGTCTGGATGTGCATTTTTTTATTTCTCTAAGATACATGGGATTAGTAGGACCTACAGGTACAGGAAGTGATTTTTGCAAAAACCAATGTCCTCATATGAGGACACTGGGTCTCAAAATGTCACACTTTTTGAGGACTACCTAAGCAATTACCATGCAAAATCTAAGAAACTTCATGATAGCCTTTCTGGTGGTTTCATTTTCCTAGTTATTTTGACAATACAACAGCCATCTGTTGACCAGAGCAAGATTAGTGAAGCACATCATCATCATCATTGACAGCTTTCAGATTGCTCTTCAGGTTGAAGAGCATATTATGTGTCATAATGGCAGGAAATGGCAGACCATTCGACCTGAACATCATCGGTATAATTAAGTGGTCGAACAAATGAACCACTTSCAAGAACTATTTGTGCTTGTAAACTGTTCTAAATATTTCCAGATTTGTTTAACAGAAATTTATGACCACTTGCACTATTTATATTTGTAAACTCTTCAAAATATTTGCAGATTTGTCCTACCTCATGGCACAATTAATAYCAAAATTARAGTCCCAGTGTCCTCAAATGAGGACTTTACCTTTATCYACATTGTACTTTGCTTCAGTTGTAAAAAAAAGTATATTATGTTTGCATTTATGAAGCTAAAGACGTATAAATACACTGGTTTCAAGCGGGAAATGGCCATCTTTCTTGCCAGAATTGCTGTCAAAGGTTTTTGCTGAGATCCCACGCCACCTTGTTTTCACTCAAATGAGTGTAATGCTGTCATGGAACCACTAGAGGGTGCTGGCAGTGTCTATTAATGAGGCCAAGGGGTTAAAGATGAACAACATGATGCATCATAGAAGGAAACTTTCATTTTCAGCTAGTTTTAACCACATTCACGGGGGGGGGGNGGGTACTGCTTAAACCGTTAAAACAACAACAGCTGCAGCTACAAATGTAGAAGAAAACTASAGGAAAATGCTGAGAGCTGAATACCTCCTGAGACCCTGCGTCCTCAAATGTGGACGTTGCATTAAAATGAAATGTTGGATTTACTTAACCATGCTACGTCAACTGGTTCCACTTAATTGAGCTGAGTAAATTCAAAGCAATATACCAGTTTTTTAACCAAAGAACATGAGTGTGTTGCTTTGAATCTACTCAACTCAGTTAAGTAACCAGTTGACGTAACATGGTTAAGTAAATCCAACATTTCYTTTCTTAAAAACTCCAGTTGAGCTTTGAAGATGGCTAACTATTCATTAGGAGAAATGAAATATAAATTTGTCCTCTGCTGGCAGGATCCCAAAGGAAGAGATGCACTTCCAGCCTCTGGAGGACATTGCTGAGAACATGGAGGAACCAGGTACCCGCCATCCCAACATGGCCCTGTTCAACCGCCTCCTCAACGCCGCGCCGTCCCCGACCGGCTTCATGGGAGGAGCCTTCCGCCGTGCCTCGGCTCAGATCCAGAGGCTACGCCCCTCCCCCAGCTTRGACCCGTGCACCAGCGACGATGAGGAGGAAGAGGAGGAGGAAGAGAAAAGCTGTAAGATAGGAAAAGGGGGGTCCTTGCCATCAGGGCTGGGCCAGGACACCCAAAGCACCGTGTGCAGCTTCAGGGAGGAGAAGAGCACCAGAACACCTCTGCTGGATATTCACTTTGGGGAGGAGGAGCKTGGAGAGAGCAAAGGGGAAGAGCAGATGAACGGAGAGGAGGAAGGGGAGACCTCTACAACTGCGGTGTCGCTCCTTCCTCCTCCACCTCAGTCCTCCAGAGAGCCGGCAGCTCGACCGGCCTCCGTGTTTTACCCCGTCAGCCCCTACAGTCTGGAGCACTGCAGCTCCCAGCCGGCCATCAGTCACCACAGGCTCCTGCCCACCATCCCCAAACCACCATACGGTGGGACCAAGAAGTCCCTCCTCACCGTGCCGTCTCACAACGAGCCGCAGCGCTTTCGCAGCGTGAGCATGGGCTCTGAGTTCACAGGCTCTTCTGACGTTCCCTCGAATTTCTAACTTTACAAAACTTTGACTTTTATTTCAGTAAAACCAGCCACTGAAACGAGACATTTTGCACTCCATCGCACCTTTAAAACCATTTTAAAAAGATAATAATTTTAGCGTCACACGCTTCATGAGTTTGTATGTTTAAAGATTTAGAAATAATTTATTTTACTGTGGGAGCTGCTAGTAAACAGAAAAGTTGTGAATGCTGAGTTGTAAATAATTCTGCTGAAGTTGGCTAAAGAAGCTGAAACTAAGCTGTTTGAGTTAAAACCTGCAGAATCGAACTAACAGGAGTAGAACAGGAGAAGAAAGATAGCTTAAAGCTAAAAGGAGCAGAATGGAAGAAGGTAAATGAAAACATTTGCACATTAGTCACAAAACCAGAACACTGTAGCTAAAAACTAAAGTAAGTTAAGTCAGTAGCTAAGAAGTAAAATGAGCAAAGCTTTTAGCTGAAAGCTAAAATTCACAAAGCTAAAATTAGTATAAATGTAGCTACATAAATGTCAAAYTAGGAAAATCTATCTAAAAGTCCAAGTTATTAAAACTGTTGCTAAAATCTCAAATTCTACAATGTTAAGACATCGACTTGAAGAATTTCAGCAGATATCCATGCATTTAATAAGGATGTTTTAAAAAGTATAAAATTATAAAAGTCATAGGCAGCACACTTCTCAAAAGAGCTGAATATAAATATATCAGCACAAAAAGGGCAAAAATAGTTTTACTGCAAAAAACATACAAGGAAAAAAACAAAAATCTAACTGAAATAAAAAAATCCTCTTTTTAAAGTCTTAATGTGTGTAAATAAATGAAATTGAATTTTCAGTTTAATCTCTGTATTCGGCTGTGATTTGGCCATTTAAGTAAAGATGCTGAAACACATCAGTTATATTTAAGGGGGACATGGGGGTCCACAGGGTCCTCATTGATACGTGAAATGGTGTTTATTCTTAGTTATGATGTTTTATTGTAAGCTCATATTACATACTTAACATTAATTGAAGGTCAAGCAACAGTGTTGCTAAAACACCTGAGGAAATGTTATTTTCTTTTTTTATTTGAATTTATTTTAAAAACAAATTTGTAAATATTTAATTTCTGATTTAATATTTTGTACGTTTACAGGATTTTAACAAATGAATACAAGAATATATCTTAGTTTGAGATAATGAGTCACTTATTTATTAATTCTTTACTGTATCTTGCAGAAACATGATATAATCTGTGGATTTTTAAGAGGAAWGCAGATAAATGCAGCAGAAATCTGTTTTTAATGTACCGATTTAGACCAGCAGGGGTCGCTAGCAGTCAATCAAAACCAGGTCGGTGTCAGTTTCTGCAGAGTTTACATCAGGCTCTTCAGGCTTGACTTCTGTTCACCACAGGACTCCTACCTGGGCTCCTGCAGGGTGYAGCGCCTCCTCCTGACCCGGGTCAGCAGCCTCTGCTTGGCCAGGAAGGACTGAGGAGGTCCAGGACCTGCAGGGTCCACAGACAGGCTGTGCTGCRGGAAGAAGCATCCAGAACATTATATTTTTACTGATATTTACTAGAATAAGTCAAGATTTTGACCATGTCTCATGCTTTACCTGCAGCTGCAGCACGAGTAAACAACAACAACGTAAACAAGKTCTGAGCAAATGTAAGAGGTGCACTCCAAAAACAAGCCCGTCACTGTGGGAGGCAGTGTTAGACCGGAGCTGGTGAGAAAACTGGGCGTGCTGTAAGTTACCAGAACTTTTAGTGGTTTTAATTGAGAATTTCATTTCTAATATTTACAAACAGACACAAATCAATCTGAACCTGACCTCCTAACACAAAACAGCCACCATGATGAGTCAGACTGATATTATTTTATCTAAGCAACCACATGTTTGATTCATAGACACTCTGCAGAGCACATGGTTGTTTCACTCCTACAGATGCTTCTTAGAAACATTTCATTCTCATTGTTTGTTTATTTGTGGTCTTCGCTCTCACCAGGCGTTTCCAGGCAGRCAGGATCTGTTTCTCCTCTTCTTCAGGTCCTGGTTCAGGTTTTTCACTCCGAGCGTCGAGGAGCTGTGAAATTTTAAAAAACTTGTTTGTTTTTTTTCCAACCAGGACTCCAGAAACTGCATTTTCTGCTGAAATGAATGCAGAGCTGAGTGACTGAGGAAGGTAAACACAGGTGGTTTAACACTAGTTAAAACCTAAAAGTGGCTGAACGTCACAAAACTCAAAGAAGCAGAAGAATGGCTAAATGGAGCAAAACACCAGATTAAAATAAAAAAGCACTGTTCAGAAGCTAAAGATAGGAAATTACTAGCTAAAAGGGGTAAACACTGGCAAAAAACTAAAGTAGCTAAATGCTAACTGAAAGGTAAAATTAGCAGCAAGGTTGTTAAAAGCTAAACATAAAGACTTGCAAAATGTTTTTAAAAGCACCATCTTAAAAGAAGCCAAGATAGTAAAACTCTATAAAAGATAAAAATAACAAAATGCAAAGAAGAAAGGCAAAAGTAGCAGAACAGAAGCTACAGTAAAAGCTAAACATAGGACAAGGTAAGTTAAACGTTAATAGAAAAAAAAGTCTTGGTAAAATTTAAAATTAGCAAAGCTTTGGTAAAATGAGTAAAACTGTTGCTAAAAGCCAAAAGCAACAAGATACTAACTAAAATCCTGAAGTAGGAAAAGGCTAAAAGGCCAAAGTAGCTGAAATCCAACATAAGGTAGCAGAATTGCAGTTAAAAGCTAAAAATGTCATTTGAGGAGACAAATAAAACAAAAAATATTTAAAGAGAATGATATTAATGGGGGGATTGTAGGAATCTTAATAAATGAGGTGGGTATTTGAAAATAAATTTGAATATTTTGAAKAGAGTAAAAAACAACCAAAAGTGGGGTAAATGTCTCGTGAATAAGCCGAAGGTTTTCATATAAATGGTTAAAACAACACAAAATATATTATACTTGGGAAAAAACATTGACAAATAAAAAGCAGGAAACCATTAATGTGAGTATTATTAATATTAATATAAAGACAGTGAGACAGGAGGCCCTCAGAGACRAACTCACCTCTGCTGCCTTCATGGTGTCAAACTGACAGACCTGTTTGTTGCTGCTCATTATTCACACTGAAGGTAATTTAAGCAGAATATGAGCACAAAAAAAACTTTTGCGTGACTGACCATGGGCAGCAGCCCTCTGTGACCTGCAGCTCTCAGTCGGGTTCTGCTGCAGAGCCGCTGGATTTAGTTGTGTAGCTGACGGAGAACAATATGGAGAGGTGCTGCGGGCTGCGAGCCCTCCTCTCCACACATGTCATCCTGCTCATCCTGCTGACTGCGGCACATTCGTTGTTTGGCAGCCAGGCACCAGGCAGCAGATTAGTGGTTCAGTCCCACCAGACAATGCAGTTATCCCCCCACAAACACATCATGTTTTAATCTGGGTAAAATAGAGGTGGAAAGCCTCTGTGAAGCAACACCAAAGGTTTGCTTTGAATCACTTAAGATTTGTTAAAAACACTCGTTTCTTTAATGCCCAAAAGGCAGGAAACAATGTTTTTGTGTGTCTGTTAGTAAAATAACACAAACCACCYGATAGATTTTACTGAAACTCTTTAACATTTGGAGTCAATCTGCCAACAGAAATGGATCTAACTCAGTCCGTTTTCCATAAAATGAACACAAGATTGTTCTGGCAGGAGCTGAAAGTCATCCCTGTACTATTTTTGAGAAGCTAACACATTTCAGGATATTTCAGATGAGATGGTGTATTTACAAGGTTGGACCAAAGATGATTTTAGTCAATGGTGGGCAGCACTAATCTAAAAATTAGTTCCACTAGTCCTAAAGCACTAACTCAAATATTTAGGTCCACTAATTCTAAAGCACTAGCGCACTGAAAGTTTTAGCAAAATCTAATTCTAAAGCTCTAAAATATCCCAGTCAACCTATGAACGTTCTTCAACAGACAACGAGTCACATGTTGCTCTCTAAAGACTGATCACTGACATTCAGCTGGATTTGAGTTCACATATTGTCACCTGGTGGATCAGTGACACACATATGAACACAATGTGTGACAGTTTTCACCCTCAGCTCTTAATAATAACGTTGATCAACAACATTTATAAACCTCAGTTAGAGCCTATAAATTTAGCAGGTGCTAATCCACTAATAAATTTTAAAATTAGCAAAAGCCCTAAAGCACTAATCAGGAAATTAGTTCCTCTATTAGTGCTTTAGTGCTTTAGGGGAGCTGTACCCACCACTGACTTTAGTTTTAAAAGCTGTCAGGTGATTGCATCTTTATTTGGACTTTATAGCCAAAAATAATAATAAAATAAAATAAACATGCCTGCAAAGACAAATATGATTTTCTTTTTTTTTCTTTTTGTTTTTCTTTTTTTGTGTTTGTTTTTTGCAGGTAGAAAACTGTTCCTCTCATCATGTCCTGAAGACACAAAGGTTTTAGAGTTATTGTGCATTTTCTGTAGTTTTTATTTAGTCACCAGCAGTTTCAGTGACCCAGAAGTTCTGAAGTTCCCCCGGTTCTGGTCTGGCCAGCTTCAAAGACCAGCAGTATCGTCACATCAAAGAATAAACGTCTCTGTGGTTGTCCGTCTACTCAGGAAGAGTCTTTTGTTTTATCAGTGCACTATTTTTTGTCTTTTAGAGTCAGTTTTAACAAAGGTCAATCTGTTCCAGTTTTAGTGCTGGCTTCAGGGGAAATGAGGTTCGTGCTTTTGTCATTAAGTGTGAAAACACAAGTTGTGGGGGAGGATTTCACAGAACTGCGTCTTTCTCTGGAACCAGGAGAACTGAGGTCAGCAGGAAGACTTACTGAAACTCCTCACAAACAACGAATCAGACCAAATTTACCACACGGCCTCACAAGTGTGCACGCTCGGRGTCTTTGCACCTCTCACTTATCAAAACCTGCTCCTCGCGTGTTTCGCCGCTGCGAGCACTCTCAGTTTGTGCGGCTGTGTGGAAAAAAGGGCCGCTCTCCCGAAACAGAAAGAAACAAAATGAGGGAAGACAGGAAACCGTCACAGATAAGTTTCTTTGAATCTGAAACCAGCGATTGTTTACTCTTGTATGAGAACCGTGGATCACAGAAAATAATAATAAAAAAAAACCCGCTGCAGATTCCTGTTAGCTGCTTGAACATCAGTTGTGAAAGCTTCCCTCCTACTGCTGAAGTTTCTGTAACTTCTGGACATTTTTCTTCTCGTCACCCTCTGCTTCCTCGCATCACTCA